GTGCCCAGAAGCACTTTAACCTAACAGTGCTTGACAGCAGAGACAGGGGACACATCTCTATGTAGACTCATAGGAAATTCAGGTGGGAAGGGAGCTCACATGCTCCAAGCAGCCCCAGCCCCAGCCCCAGCTACATCACCCCAGCCAAGGTTTTGTCCATCCAGGTCTTAAACACCTCCAAGGATGGAGACTTCTGCTAGACTCGAGCTAGCCAGAGCGGGGAAGAGACAGTGACATAAGTGCCATCACGACCTGGCAATAAAAGTATGTCTCGGGTAGCTGGCATGGGTCACTAGGGTAAATGAAGCTACAATGAGCATCAGACGTGTGCAGACGTAACTCGGTGATGCTGTGAAGACAGCTGCCTGACAAGCGTCTACACGCGCGCCCAGAAACGTTGTACTGCTACCACACAGGTGAGCCAGGACTGCAAGACCTCAAGCAGACTGCTGTAAAGTTATATAATAATTATCTGGGCATTACAAAATTTACCATCACAGCCATGCGAGCGAAGGCATCACAACACCGGTACTTTTCTTACATCATCATAAACGGAAAAGACAGGACTTCAGTGAAGACCCAGGCTACACTTCAGGCCTCAGCTAAGCTAAGAGACACGAGAGCACCATTACATCTAGGCCTAGGATGACCGGACCCTGCTCCTCCCGTACCTCCAAGGCCGGACCCTGCTGTCTTGTGGGGGTGTATCCACCACCCCGAGGGCTAGGATGGCAGAAAGGCTCCCCTACAGACAGGTCCTACCTGCTGGTTTCTCCCCTTTCAATACCCGCCTGGCTGCCCATGTCCCACGGGCCAGCCGCTGGAGGAAGCGTGGCCTAGGCTGCAGGCAGCATCGGCCCGGGAAGGGTCCTGCATGTGGTGCCCCTAACTCCACATCTGGGGTAGGAAAAAACAGCCAGTCTCGCAGGCTCTTTTCAGTTTCTACGGATGGAGAGAAACCGCGAGGTCCAACCGTGGAACCAGAGCCATTGACACGAAGCCCACACAGGCGTGTTGGGAGGAGGCAGCGGGCGCGGGGAGAGCCAAGCCGTGTTGCTTGGTATTTTGGACTTGCCTTTCCAGCTCGGTACAGATCCCTGCCCTAGGCTGACACGCACAGAGCATCCCCCTGACATCCTGCCTCGACCCCCCTCTCCCGCCTACTACAACGTCCCTGCCTTCCCCTTGCTGCAGCTCCAGTACGCCGAGTCCTTTCTCCCCGGGAGTATTCTCCCTTTACAAAGCAAGACCATAAAGTAGTGACATAATCTCATCTTGGCAGACACTTGTGCTGATGTTAAGCCAGTGCCTTTCGTGGTCCACATTGCAGCTTTCCGGTCCCTGAGATAGATGGTGCGGCGAGCTGCCCCCCCCGCAGCACACCGGTTCACTGATGGCTAGTGTCTTCCCATTTTCTGCTTTCATTTTGGCTGTTACAAGGGGTGCCGGACTGGTCACCCTCTCAGCCGAAAGCCTCCCTTCCTCCCCAGAACAGGTATACACCAGGCAGTGAACATAATTTATTTTGGGTGGCTTTGCCCACCCAAAATAAATGACCAGCCACCCACAAATAGGTGCATGTGAAGTCTCCTCACCCATTTACTCCATGCCCGCAGAGGCCTGTGGTGACCCAGACGCTCGAGCGGTCACTGATCTCTTTTGCACCGACAGGGCAGAGCTGGCAGCCAGGGAGGATGAGGACTCCTTGTAGTAAACAATAGTAGCAATGCGGGGGGGGGGAAGGGGCATTTAAGGCAGCTGAATGAGGAGGTGTGACTTGGCAAAATGTGTCCTGTTGTAGTTTATGGGATGTATGGAGCCGTTTTATTAGGGATATTTTTTGCTCTTCACTTCCTAAAAACAAACAAAAAAAACCAAAAAACAAAAAATAAGGGACCAATTGTTTCTGCCATCTGAGAAAACTTGGTGGAGCAGGCTGAAATCCAGGAATAATTAAGAAAATAATAGAGCACACCCAACCAGAAAAACAGTATTTGTTTAAAGAAGTCCCACCAGAGTTCTTGGTAGTGATTACATTTCTTTCAAAAAAAAGAGGGGGGGGAGGAAAAGACTTCTAAATCAAAAGCAGCAGTCATCAGCTCATTACTCAGATCGAGAGTGGAAAAAAAACAGGGCTGCAGTACTTTCTAGTGGTAAGACTTTTTTCCATTTTCACTGCTGTTATCAGTTTTGGTCGGCTGCAGAATAATCATGTTTTGCCCGTCTGTGTTTTCTGCAAAACGAGACAAGTCCCCCCGCTCACCTGCCGGCGCCTCAATACAGAAGCAGAGACCACGGCAGCCCCGGGAGGGGACCCCCAAAGTCAGGGGGGAGACTTCAAGGACTTGACCCATGCTAAGATCAGCATCCAGGCTTCTAGCTGCGAGCCTCATCTTCTTTCCCTTGAAACAGCCCCTCTGGGGGCTTCAAAAACACCCTCTTGCCTGGCTGCTCTTCCCATAACACCCAGGTGTGTGTCACAAGACAGGGGGAAACTCTTTACAGCAAAAAATTCTCCTTTAGTCCCTGAGGGCAGGACTTTGCTCTCTGGACTATCAAGCTTCAGTCCAGGTCTATTAAGTTATTCTTCAGACCCGTGCAATTCTTCTGCACTGAGGATCCCCCAGCGTTATGTCATCAGGAAATGTCATGGATATGTTCTGCGTCTGCCAAAGAAAATACGGCATGAGAGGAGTTTCTAGAGGAGGAATGGTGCCAGAAACCTCTCTCTAGCCTGGCATGTCCTCTTTAAGCACCACCCGGTGCTACCTCTGTAGCCAGGCCCTGATCCACCTTGCAGGTCTCCAGCTAAGCCCCATCTTGACTAATATCTTAATACTCTCACGGCATGATTTCATAGACATCTACAGGCTCTCCACCTTCACAAGCGACTGCCACACGTCTCCAAGAGACACGGAAACACAATGCACGCGCACGTCCATCGCCGCCACCCTCCAAGATGGAAACTTGCACTACACCCATGTGCTTCCCCCTAACTTGGTGCATTTAGCCATCAATGCTCCTGGCTGATACTGCAGGGGCTTCTCCTCTCCTATGCTTCATTTCCCCCTCTACACATCATGAATGTGGCAGGGCCACACAACAGTTTTATATCTGATGCTTGCCAGGTCCTCATCCCAGTGCGCAGGTGTGCGGCCGGGGCTGAAATGAAGGTGCTGCAGGATAAGGCGACTGAGCTCCGGGGTGGTTGAGTTGTCCTGAAACTTGGCATTTCCTTGCTCTTCAGTGCGGACATGCTTAGACTGCAGTTGCATGCCATAAAAGTTGTTGTTGTTTTTTAAAATATATATATAGAGCACACACAGGAATTTTTCCCAGTCCCTACAAAAACCAGTAGCCAGGACACAAGGGCAGCATTCGTGCGCAGGACTGGGAAGAGAAGGAAATCCTGACCAAGACAAACCTTCATGCTACCATGAAGTACCAAGGGCTCTGCTGCCTGCTCTGTTGAGGAAACCTCTTCCAAAATGAAAATGCTTGATGTGTCCAACCTTGGCACTGGGGGGGGGGGGGGCAAAACGTGTTTAAC